CTGTGTTAAAAAGCCTTCCCCACCCTTTCCCGGGTCTGAGGGCTTGTCCGTGCTGAGCCATGCCTGGCCACTGACCTGAAGACTCAATTGCCAGCCCTGACCTTGGGATGCTGCCCCCCCCCTTATCCTTCATTGGATGGGATTTTTCCTTGAATTTTTTGTTCCCCAATAAAAGCTCACTCCCTGGCGTGCTGTTCCTCTCTCGCTAGTCTCTTCTGTAAACCTCGCCACCACATTAGGGGGCTGGAGGCGGGAACTAGGAGAAGCCATCTCAGAGCTGTGCTAAATGTAATGAGAATCTCTTTAATTTAAAACTCACCAGCAATTTCTTATGCATCGAATCCTCTTTCATGAAGCTCACGCTGGTCGCATGGCAGAGAAACCCAGAGCCAGGCACCTGTGAAACACTCGTTTTACTACCGAACTGTACTTTCAGCTCTAAACCTGTCATTTTGAATGATTAGAAACCCATTTTATAAAATACAAGGTCCCAGTGGAATGAATTAGTGATACCTGAACCTGGACCTTAACAACTAGTTGTGCTCCAGTGGCTTAGTGCAGGCCCAGTGCATAGTCACACGGTGGCATGAAAGAATGGGCATCCAGTGAGGAATGGGTCCTCATGGGCTGCTAAAGGAGAAATGCTGGATAGGTGGCCGGGCTGAGATACTGTTCTTCCATATGTGTTAGGATGGTCATCCCAGATAGAGAAGGGGTACAGGGTGAGTGCTTTTGGGTGGTTACCCACTGAGATACATCACCAGGTTTTAAAATATTTTTTCTTTGTTGACAGATTTTTATTTTGTTTATTTATATGTGGTTCTGAGAATCAAACCCAGTGCCTCACACATGCCATGCAATTCAATTGTGCTGCCACTGAACCACAGGCCCAGCCTCATTCCTAGTACCTTTTACTTATTTATTTGATTTGGCCCTTCTGGGATTGAACTCTTGGATACTCCACCACTGAGCAACATCACCAGCCTCATTTTGTATTTTATTTAGAGTCTCAGTAATTTTCTTAGTTCATCACCTTTGTTGAGGCTGACTATGAACTCTTGATCCTTCTGCCTCAGCCTCTTGAGCAACTGGGATTACAGGTGTGTGCCACTCTGTCTGGGTCCCCTTTTCCTTCTTTTTATTATTATTATTATTATTATTTTGATAAAGGGTTAAATTGTTTCTCAGGACCTCACTAAGTTAATGAGCCTTGCTTTGAACTCTCAATACTCCTGCCTCAGCCTCCGCATCCACTGGAATGACAGGCCTGTGCCACTGAGCCAACTCTAATAAAAATTTTAAAGTTATTTATTCCATGGTAACAAGGATCTACTTAAACTTACAATCCAAAAACATACATATAATATATTCACTTATTATAAATAAATTTATAAGAATTAGCATATGCCATTTTTATAAAAACAGATGTCACAAAAATTACTCCCATTGACCAAATGTGACCCATAAAATCTTGAAAACATGAATATTTGATTTATATATTCTTATTCTTTTTCCAGATTTATTATTATAGACAAGTTTAAAACACTGAATGAGTGAATGCAAAGAATTATGCCAATTTCCCAAATTATTAATTGAAAATAATATTTTATTTTTCCTAGTAATGACATTTATTTTCCCACAAATACCACATGTGGCATTTATGTGTTGAAGCTAAAAAGTTGATTACACAGAAACTGAAACAGAAATGCTTCCCAGATTTATGATAAGAATGAGAAAGAGACTGATTTTGTGTAAGGAGTGCCCAAAACAGTTAAGACCAGAAAGTAACTCTTAGGTTTTATAGCACAATAATGTGATTATGTTCTACAATAACTTCTTAAACAAATCAAAATAGCCAGAAATTTGCAGGTTTCAAACAAATAATAATAATTTTAATTAGATGAAAATTACCCTGATCTGATAACTACACACTATATACTCATGTTGAGTTACAATAATGGGTCTCATATCAAAGTACAAATAGTAGATTCCACTTAAAAATTAAAATAAACAGAAATCAACTCTTTGATGTTTTAACCAAATATCTACATCACCTCAGATTTTAAAATGGTATCCTATGTTCATAAATGTTTCACTATTTTGGTTTTTCTTACTGTCATGTCTTTTATATCTAAAATGTCTAAAGAGTCATGGAACGATTTAGCCTCATGCACATGGTTTTCTGATGAATGCTATTTTTTTCAAAACTTGTTTACACTTTATTATTTTATTTTTTATGTGGTGTTGAGGATTGAACACAGTTTCTCACATGTGCTAGGCAAGCACTCTACCACTAAGCCACAATCTTATCCCTGATGCCTGGTATTTTTTAATATGTGGCTTGAATCAACTTAAAATACATACCTACTATTTCAGACACTTGACTTAAAACACAACTTGCCTTGTATAGAAAATATTCCATCAGATTAACATCAAATTTTCTGTATCAATTTTATGTGTGGTTTCTTTACTGAAGAAATACATTGCTTCCTTCAAGCAGATGAATATTGGGATTTTATGGAAGTTCATCTTTTAGGCTTGGGTCAAGTTCTTGTTCTTTAATTAAAATAAAATGACTTTGAGTCTATCTGAACTGTGACTTTAATTGCCACCTTTATTCCAGATGACTGAAAAGAAGACAGTAATAATATATTTCTACTGATATTCAATAGCTGGACTTTGGTCACTTAAGATATTTTTCTGGTCATGATAATAACATATATGCAAGGTGGATAGCTACATTGGGGATTCAAGGACAGGCCTAGAATACTGCCAAAGAGTTTTCTACACATATTGCTAGAATATTTTAACATTATGAAAACAATTTGAAGCAAAAACATAGCCGTTATTAAAAGAAAAGATTTAAATCTATTAAATCACATATATGAGAAACTGCATAATCAAAACATAATGGCCAGCATTTCTACTGAGGACTTTTTATTTCAGAATTCAATTCATATTTGATAATTGTTCTTCTTTCATACACAATAGCTCTAAAATATATGTAATGTGACTCCTTATATGTCATACAAGATGATCAGATTTAGCATCAAGGTAACACTTTAACTCAATAAAAAATTATAAATACAAATTTATAAAAATCATCTTAGAGGGCATGCTTCTCAGTGCCATCTTAGATGATACATTAAAGGCATTAGTTCTGGTAATAAATGTCAAAAGACAGCACTAAAAAATACATCTAAGTGCACACCTACTACATTAAGATGCATTTTTGAGAAGGTTGCAATTCTTTATGTTTGTACAATCCTTCCATTTCAATTCACTGAAAATTGTAGAGTTTTCAATATGTTCCTACTGCTTAATCAAGAAGAGAAAGATGAAATTAAAAAATAGCAATTATAAATGTACATCAGGGACTTCACAAGCTAATTTCTAAGTTTCATTTAACCCTGGAAGATAAGAGTTCATCCAAACAAGAGAATAATCATTCTCCTCAAAAGAGGAGAATCATTAAAATAGGACCCCAAGATATATGAATTCTAGTTACGAGGGTGGGGGGATATAAAACCATTAACAGCCTCAGCTCAACAGATGTTGGCTAAAATGGTGTTAGAATGTACTCTAGATAACATTGTTACTGCTTTGATTGCTAAACTCACACAAAACTCTATAAATGCTTTGGTCTTAATAACAATTTTGCTCTGTTTCTGTACACCAGCTCTGGAAAATTCAGTACTGTCAGATCCTGGACTTCTAGAACCCATTACAATATCTTGACTCACTTGCATAAAATTGTTATATACCTGCAAAAATGTCTCATGGTATTCATTGCTTAATCAAGAAGAGAAAGATGAAATCAAAGTAACACACTACCCCAGAAAACCTCAAGATGAGATTACATCAAGAACTATTTTGATAATATATGGTAATTCTGAATCTATAAGAAAGCCTATGTACAGTGGGAGCACAACTACCATAACATAATCCAGACATAATTGGGTAATAATATTGGAAAGGCACCTGGAGGATATTAGAGGGACTTGATAACTGAAGTGACAAAAATGTGTTTTGGGTGAATCCACATATATCCCTGGTAAGCGGATAGGCTGAGATTGATGAAGATGACACTATTTGAAACAAAGACTTCTGCTTCATTTTCTCCTAAGATATATACTATTGGTATGGAATATGAAAAAAATGAAAAAGGTCAACAAACAATATTATTTTATTAGTAAAAGAAACATTTCCTCTGAAGTTTGTTTTGAGATTTCAGCTAACACCAGAATTTTCTTCTGAAACTTCACATTCCTTTTCTAGCACAAGATCTAGCCCAAGATCTTTACCATTGGTATCTTGGCTCTAATACATCTAGGGATGCTGATAATTATGGGGTTCATATTTACAGATGTTTTTGTCTCATAATTTTGGAGATGACGTCAAATAAAAATTAATAATCTACTTTCATCAGTTTTTTGGGGGGTGCTTCTCCATTTGTACCACCTGCCCGCTGAGTGTTCTCTATGACACCACCCTCAGCCCCAGAAGCTCCTGCTTGGCATAGTTCAACCATCAATTCTCACATCAGAGCCTGTGATTCCTTGTTCCTTGTGGGTATTCTACATGTTCATGAATGCTTCATTCTCGTTCTCTTCTACTGCCATCATCAGTGAGACCTAACATGTTCTTACATTTATTACTGTATGCTGAACAATTGTACCGATGCATTACTTTCTAAGGCATTTATTTTCAATATTGGGGGTGTTCCAGGAAGTCTTTTCTCTAAGGCTCATGTCCTCAGGTCTTTCTAAAAGTCAATAAATAGACAAAAATCTAACTAAAAAATAAATGATGTTATCACTATTAATACATGAACATTAAAATAAATAAACAATACTTAAAATTCTCAGTCCATAGGTATAAGGACTTGGATTACATAGATCAATTTGTTGGAAGACACAAACTACCAAAATGCATTTTGTTCTTGGTGATCATTGTACTGGGAAGAAGTTATTGTTTTCAGCATTGAACTCTCACCAAGCCATGGGTTTATTTAGGGTAGGACACTGCTGTTTTCTTCTGTAACCATGACATGGTATCAATCATATGTAAAAAGAAAAAAATAACAGAAATAGGAAATGGTTCTCTCAGAAAAAAAAATAAATTACAAGCACATTGTGATAGTGCACAGAATATCCAAAATGTGGCCTCTGTATACGGGGCATCTACAGAAAGCATGAACTTGTATACCTGCTGGGAGAAAGAAAAATGTTGCAACCCTCCAGTGAATTGGGCTTTATTATTTGAAAATATATAAAAAAATAGCCATTGATAAAGCAATATTTCTTGCAGGACTGAACATTGAATGTACATTTTCAAGAATATAAAATAGATTCCCAGAGCTATTCAATACAGAAATATTGTTAAGAAATGAAATTCAGAAATAGTCCAAATGTCCATCATTTGTTTAGTTCCAACTTTTGTCTATCTATATCATGGAAAGTTAAGATTTTTACATATGTGGAGTGTTTTCCAGGTTGTTTCATTGAGTGAATAATAAGGGGCAGAAAGGATATACAGGAGCACTCTATTTTGGGTAAGAAAGAAATTTACATAGTAATTTATTATTGTTAATGCCTCCTACCAAAAAAAGAAAAAAGTAAGAATATATACTAGAAACAATTAAATCAGTTGTTCATGAAGGGCAATGGTTAAAGATTAGTGGGGATGAAACATAGGTGAGTCTTCAGTATTTTTTAACATGGGTTTATATTTGAGCCACATAAACAAAAACCATGTTCAAAACATCAATGTCCTCTTTGCCCTGAGGCTTTTGCAAATACTGTTCCTGAGCCGGATTTCTCTCTTCCTGAGGATGGCTTCTCTTGGGATTTCACCTTACAGCTTCTGTGGAACACATGCTAGTATGGGACTGGTGTCCCCTCGTCATGACTAGGAAGGTGAGCTGTGGGCCATGTGTGCTCAGCTGCAGGCTGAGTTCCTTCTCAGCTGAGCCCACTGGCTCATCAGAGAGCTGATCCCCTGACCCCTGAGCACCAGTTTAGGTGCTGGGTACCTGGCATAGCCACACCCTGGAGTTCCTGATGCCAGCACGAGCCTTCCTCAGCACTTGCCCCCAGTGTCCAGCAAGGGCCTCCAGCTGAGGGCTGCTGGTGGAGCACTCTGCCATTAGAGCTGACATCAAATGATCCTCCAGACAACCTGGTACCCAGGTGCAGGAGGCTCAAGTAAGGGCGAAGCTGAGTGTTAGGCTAAGTAGCTTCTGAGGCACAGGCAGGAAATCTCAGGTAGAATCCTAGGAACTCTGCCTCCTCCTATCTACCCTCCTGCCTCCAGGGCCCAATATGTCCACACCAGGTTCCCCAGCAAGGGCTCATGGACTTGCCCTCAGCCCAGGGCCATCTTGTCCTCAAACCACTGCTCTGTGACTCCAGCTCAGCTGACAAATGGTGAGAAGTGGAGGAGCATGTGCTGAACCCCGCTTGGCACAAGGACTCTGGGATCCAGAACCTGCAGCAGCATCAGATCAGGCACATGGCTGCCTCCAGGCTCATCTTGTGGCCCATGGAGATGTAGAGAGGCTTGTTGCTGAGGCTATGGCTCTTCAGGGCCTACAGCATGGAAAGGAGGTCAGAGCTGCAGGAACACATGCCCCCAGGTCCAGGCCAGCCACAGGGACTGGAGGCTCTGATGAGGTCCTTGGTGGTAGCAGGGAGTTCTTGGACTCCCAGCCCTTAGGCTCCTTCCCGGTGCCTGTCTCTGGGCAGGGTGGGCGAGTGCTGGCATCAGAGGGTCTGGGGTGCACACGTGCAAGTGCATGCAGTGCCTCTGACCTGGCAGAGTAGGGTGAAGGCCCAGGCTAGTCATCATTCCCAGGACAGTTCTAGACCCTCCCGTCAGAGGATGCATCTCCCTCAGCCTGCAGGAGCTGAATCTGGAAAATGGGGAGAAAACTTGCAAAAACCTTTTCTTGGTGAAGGGCTGAGGCAAGCCTCTTCCTCTTTAAAACCCAGTCACAAGCCGGGAAAGGGAAGGGACCTCTCCTGGATGATACTGTACCCAAGCAAAGCCATCTGCTCAGACAGCCCTGGTGTGCCCAAGGCCCCCATCTGACCTGACAACAGGGGCTTTGAGATGGGCAGCAGCTCACCTGGGACCACAGAACTGGTAAGTAGAGGAGTGGGTCAGGGCACACAGGGCCACCCTGGCAGCAGACTGTGACGAGGACTTAGCTACTAGCTTCTTTCTGCTTCCTCCCTACTGGGAACTTGGACATGTGTGTCACCTCCATACTTTCCACCGGAGGGGAGAGGATGGGCCCAGTGTGGGTCACATTGGCCTGGGTAGGGTCTGGACCGCCATGTCCTCCACAGATGTTTATGGAGTGAGTGCTCCACACAGGTGCCTCTGCTGGAGGAAAGGACAGATGGGGTCTTTGCTCTCAGAATGTGCTGTGCAATAGAAGAGCCAAAGTGTTAATGTCACCTCCCCTGTGCATGCTGCAGGGCCAGAAGAGGGAGATGCAGGGGTGAGAAAGGGTGTGGATGCAGTCACAGGCAGGAGCAGTGGTCCAAAGCCTGGCACCTGGGATGGCATGGGGGTGACTGGGGGACATACCCTACAATAATCTACATGAGTGTGGCAGCAGCACAGAGGTGGAGATGGAAGAGGCAATCACAGCACAGGGAGGAGTCAGGGGCCCCAGGGGTTGCAAGCCACAAGCTGGGATGTACCACCCAGGGCTACACGGAGAGAGGCACCAGAGAACACCAGGTGTGCTTTACTCCAGGCCAGGATCCAGGGATACAGACGTATGCGGGAGGTAGCTGACCCGTCCTTCCCATCCCCAGGACCATTCCAGGCACCTGCTGGCTGGGCCCAGGCTGTCCAGGCCTCCCTACCTTCTCCTTGTGCAGGGCACTCTTCTCCAGCATGTCTACCTGCAGGAGTTTCTTGGCCACTCCAGTGCAGGGCAGCTTTGTGAGGACACCAATGTAGCAGGCCACCCCAAAGCTTGGCAGTGGGCAGAGGAGGGTGAACTGGGGCAGTGGGGTTGGGCAGCACTAAGCCATGCAGCCTGGAGGTGGGCCCAGGATGAGGGATGAACAGAATCTCACCATCTACAGACCAGCAGAGCACTCAGGGCCCAGACTCCAGGAACCTCTGAGCCCTGACTTCATGGGTGAGGTTGGGGCAGGCCCAGCAGCCTAATCAGCATGCTCACACCACGTCACCCTGTTCTTTCTTTCATTTTCTGGCAATTTCCCTCTTCCTCTCCCCTTTGCTGCTGCCCTCAAGTCTATGCATATGTTCCCATGGCCTGGGTGCCCATGCCCAGGAGCAGCCGGCGGGTCCCAGGACTAGCATCCAGGTCAACATGAGTTTACCCTTTGGCTTTGGGGCCATGAGGTCCAAGGGCAGTGGCCAGGATGACCATCAACCTCAGCACCCTCCTGGGCCAAGGTCCCTGCATCTGCAGGAAGTGGCTCTCCTGTCTGATTATGGACAGAGGACAGACTGTCCAGCTCAGGGACGGTGGTGAGGGGGCTCCCTGAGCTCAGGCCCTGTGACTTTTCACAGTGGCCAGGTTGGCACTGGACCATGGTCCTGGAGATGGGCCAGTGTACGGTACTGTGGGCAAGAGAAGGGGTAGGTAGTAAAGGTGGGGTGAAAGGGGGGCTCTCCTCTGGGTGGGGGATCTGTCCTGTGGTCTCACTGCCGATGATGAAAATGAGTCCAGAAAGGAGCCATCAAAGCCTGGATGGCAGCAGAAGCTCTTACATGGGGTCAGACACGCCCTCTTCTGGTCTCTCCCAGTGTCCACTCTGACCTTTCCTTTGGGGAGAGCAAGATTATCTCAGTGGTGGAACACCCCCATTTTCACCCAGAAACACGACCTACAAAGCCACAGGGAATCACATCAGCTAAGCTGACCCTCACTCCTCAGGTTGGGCTTGTGGGGCAGAAAAAAGGGGAACTGCCACAGGGGTCCAGCTTTCAGAAAACCCTCTTCTTTTCTGACTATGAGTAGTAGTGGCTTTCAGGGGGCCTTCCCTCCCCCAGGCAAAAGCAGAGGGTCCACTTCCTGCCCCTGGGAGGAAGTACCTGTCTGGGGCATGAGTCCTGGCTCCTTCTCCTATAGCAACTGTCCCAAATCCACCAGAAAGGGCAACTCGAGGAAGGCCAGAAAGGCCTGTCACATAGGAGGCCATCAGGCTACCCATACAGCTCTCTTCATACACCACCTGCCACCAGGCATGCAGGTCAGCAGGAGTCCGAGGCCACCTGCTTCCTGCCTCCATTTGCTCTGCTCTATTGCTCAGTTCACCATCAACAACCAACCTCCCATCTCTGCCCCACCCACGGCTCCCTTCTCTGCCTCACCCAGAGGTGGGGTGTGCAAGATAACCTTCCCTGCAAATGGCGGTGAGGACTGAATGCAATGTCATTTTGTAACAGGGGTTCAGTTAGTGCTTTGACTATATCCCTTGTTGCCTTGAAACTTATGTTTTATTCTTTTTCCAAAACTTCTTTTCCCTGACCTTTATCCTCCTTGATCTCTCTTCCCTAGTCTCATTTTTCTCTGAATTACCTCTTTAAAAAACTCCTATTTCCCATGATGGGCAGAATCACTGGCTCTGGGACAGGAGTCCCTTGGGTTTCTCTTTTGCAAGCAAAGCAATAAAACATCTTCATTTTTCTCAAGACTTTGTCTTTGTTATTGGATTGACATTGAGGATGAGGACTGAGCTTCCGGTTACAATTTCAAAGGTTCCCACCTGGGACTTGGTGTGTATGACACCCAACCACTCTTCCCAGGAGCTCTTCTAAGGGTGGTGGCTAGCCTCACCCCTGCTTGCCCCTTGCCCTTCTGGGGCTCCTTGTAAGTCAACCCTGGTTCCTCCACCATATGCAAGGCCACTGGAGGCTCAAAGACAAGGCCCACTAAGGCACTAGCACAAAGGCAGCACTGCGTGGACACAGGGAGACGAGGGGAAAACCAGGTCTCCTGGAGGCTGTAACAGTGAGGTGTGAAAAGACCTCTGATCATCTAGAAGGGTGGGCATGCCCTCAGAGTAGGAAATCAGAGAAAATAGGGGTTTCCAGAGACAGGAGAACTTGAGAACAGAGACAGGAGAACAATACTTCTGAGAAGGAAATGAGGAAAACTACCCCATTCACAATAACCTCAAAAAAAAAAAAAGATATTTGGGAATCAACTTAACGAAAGAGGTGAAAGATCTATACAAAGAAAACTACAAAACCCTAAAGAGAGAAATCAAAGAAGACCTTAGAAGATAGAAATATCTACCTTGCTCTTGGATAGGCCGAATTAATATTATCAAAATTACCATAGTACCAAAAGCACTATACAGATTTAATGCAATTCTGAACAAAATCACAATGGAATTCCTAATAGAAATAGAAAAATAAATCATGAAATTCATCTGGAAAAATAAGAGATCCAGAATAGCTAAAGCAATCCTTAGCAGGAAGAGTGAAGCAGGTGGCATCACTATACTAGACCTTAAAGTATACTACAGGGCAATAGTAACAAAACAGCATGCTACTGGCACCAAAATAGACTGGTAGACCAATGGTACAGAATAGAGGACACAGAAATTAACCCCAAAATTACAATTATCTTATATTAGACAAAGGTACCAAAAACATGCACTGGAGAAAAGATAGCCTCTTCAACAAATGGTGCTGGGAAAACTGGAAATCCATTTGCAGTTTTAATGAAGTTAAACCCCTATCTCTCACCATGCACAAAACTTAACTCAAAATGGATCAAGGACCTAGGAATTAAACCAGAGACTCTGCATCTAATAGAAGAAAAAGTAGGCTCTAATCTTCATCATGTGGGATTAGGGCCCAACTTCCTTAATAAGACTCCTATAGCATAAGAATTAAAACCAAGAATCAATAAATAGGATGGAATCAAACTAAAAAATTTCTTCTCAGCAAAAGCAACAGTCTGTGAGGTGAACAGAGAAGCCTATATCCTGGGAGCAAATTTTTACCCCTCATACATCAGATAGAGCACTATTCTCTAGGATACATAAAGAACTCAAAAAGCTAAGTACCAAAAAAAAACAAATAACCCAATCAACAAATGGGCCAAGGACCTGAACAGACACTTCTCAGAAGAGGATATACAATCAATCAATAAATACATGAAAAAATGCTCATCATCTCTAGAGTAATGCAAATCAAAATTACTCTAAGATATCATCTCACACCAGTTGGAATGGCAACTATTATGAAGATAAATAACAATAAGTGTTGGTGAGGATGTGGGGGGAAAGGTACACTCATGCGTTGCTGGTGGAGCTGCAAATTGGTGCAGCCAATATGGAAAGCAGTATGGAGATTCCTTGGGAATCTGGGAATGGAATCATCATTTGACCCAGCTGTCCCACTCCTCAGTCTATACCCAAAGAACTTAAAAATAGCATACTGCAGGGACACAGCCACATCAATGTTTATAGCAACTCAATTCACAATAGCTAAACTGTGGAGTCAACCTAGGTACCCTTCAGTGGATGAATGGATAAAAATAATGTGGCATATATACACGATGGAATTTACTCATCAATAAAAGAGAATAAAATCATGGCATTTGCAGGTAAATGGATGGCATTGGAGAAGATAATGCTAAGTGAAGTTAGCTAATCCCCTCCCAAAAACCAATGCCGAATGTTTTCTCTGATATCGGGAGGCTGACTCATAATGGGGAAGAGAGGGGAAACATGGGACAAAGAGATGAATTCTAATAGGGAAAAGGGGAGGGAGGGGAAGGAAGGAAGAGGAGATTATCAAGGATGGTGGAATGTGATGGACATCATTATCCAAAGTACATGTATGAAGACATGAATTGGGTGTCAACCTACTTTATATACAAACAGAGATATGAAAAAAATGTGGTGACTATGTATAATAAGAATTGTAGTGCAACAAAAGTACATGTGTATAGACATAAAATGGCATGAACACACTTTATACAAAGGTATGAAAATTTGTGCTCTATATGTGTAATAAGAATTGTAATACACTCCACTGTTGTGTATTTAAAAAAAAAGTAAAATCAATAAAAAGTAAAAAAAAAATCCATCAGCTGGCACAGTGCATGCTGGCCTTGAATTCAGTGCTATGCCAACACTGTCTTTCCAGCTGCCCTGAGGCACAGTGGAGGGGAGGGGAGCTATGTCCCCACCACATAAAGGGACAGAGTAGAGAATCCTATTTTGCTTGCCGGTCCTGTTTCCATGCAACTGCCACTTTCCATACAGAGACGCAGCTGGACAGCAGTATCTCTTCTGGGAACTGGGATTCCATTTCTGGAAGAACTTCACTCTCTTTGGTTTCCATGTAACTCACCAGAGTGTCCCTCAGGCTGCAAAATCAGGCACAAGGGACAGTGTTTAGAGCATTCAGGAGCCTATCAGCTCTCACTCTTTATAGGACTGGGTGCTAAGACCAGAAATACTGAGGGTCAGCTTCAGGTGAGCCAGCTGCCCCGTTCCTGAGCTAGACCTGGAGTCCTAGGCTCAGGGCTTCTGGGGGGTGGAGCTTCCTCGATGAGGCTCAGCTAGGCCTTTTCAGGCACTCCACTGATGGGCCTGTCTGGCTGCATCAGAAACAAAGCTTTGCCACTCAGAAAAAGGAAGGTGTTCCCTCTCATGGTTTATCTTACCAAAGGTTGCAAATTCTCTAGGAAGGGGAACTTTACTGTACAGGCATGTGCCATACGGCCTGAGGGCAGAAACAGCAAATGTAGCCTGACTGTCCATCCAGAAAGCCAGCCAAGTGAAATGCCTGCCTCATAGCACACATAAAAGTGGACTGACTAATGAAAGAAATGTGCAATGTAGAACTATAAAAGCAGCAGGAGAAAACAGTATGGCTTAGCACCCTGGGATGTGATAAAGAAGTATGTCCCTGTGGCAGCTTTTGTGGGGGCAGGGGAAGTACTGGGGATTAAACCCAGGGGTGCTTAGCCACTGTGCCACATCCCCACCCACCCCTCACACTTTAAAAGAAATCTATTTTTAGTTGTAGATAAATGCAATAGCTTTATTTTGTTTATTTATATGTGATGCTAAGGAGCGACCCTAGTGCCCCACACATGCTAGGCAAGTGCTCCACCACTGAGCTGCAATCCCAGCCCACATCTCCACCCCTTTTCAATATTTTATTTAGAGATAGGGCCTTGCTAAATTGCTGAGGCTGGCTTTGAACTTAAAATCCTCCTGAACTCCTAAGATTACAGACACGCACCACTGCACCCAGCCCCACAGAGGCTTTATGAAAAAATCCTATCAATTGATTTCTTACTTCTATCAATTGTAACATGTAGATCAAAGGAAATAATCTATTCTATACAAAGAGCTTTTTACAAATCATTAAAAAAGAGATAAAGGGGCTGGGTAGAGCACTCACCTGGGTTTGATTCTCAGCACCACATATAAATAAATAAAATAAACATATTGTGTCCATCTACAACTTTAAAATAAATATTTTTTAAAAAGAGTGAGATAAGGGCTGGAGTTGTGGCTCGGTGATAGAGTGCTTGCCTCGCATGCATGAGGCCCTGAGTTTGATTCTTAACACCATATAAGAATAAATAATGCAATCAGTATACGGGGTAAAAATGGGAGTTCATAACCCACTTGAATCAAATGTATGAAATATGATATGTCAAGAGCTTTGTAATGTTTTGAACAACCAATAAAAAAAAATAAATAAATAAAGATATTGAGTCCATCTACAACTAAAAAATATTTTTTTAAAAGGGATAAACTGGTTAGGGGTAGTGGCATATGCCTGCAATCCCAGCAACTCAGGAGGCTAAGGTAGGAGGATTACATAGTCGAGACCAGCCTTAGCAATGGTGAGGTCCTATCTCAAATTAAAAAATAAAAAGACCTGGGGATGCAGCTCAGTAGCTAAGTAACCATGGGTTCAATCTCTGGTACTAAAAAAAAAAAAAAAAGAAAGAAAGAACAAAAAAACAGATCAACTGCCCTGCCCAATAACCAGAAGCTACCAAGAGCTATTTCAGAGGATGATAAACAAATGGTGATAGATTTAAAAATGTGCCCAGCCACAGAAGTAGGTAGGAAAACAAGTGAAAACAAGACACCATTTTTTGGCCATTAGATTGACACAAATGTAAAATTCACATGATTTTGGATATTTCAGATTTCACACATTGTTGTAGCTTAATCTACCTAATCTAAAATGCATACTTCTTTGACATAGTTAGGTCTACTTGTTATAATGAGCATATATGATTTCACAGTTATCTTTTAGAAGTCCCCAAAAGATTAAAACCAAAGAAATAAGTTCTCAGTTGCTCTGGTGATGGAGAACAGTAGACAGAGGGTCCTGTGGTAAGGTGGAACTACCTTCATGTCAAGGGAGACGCCAAACATTCTAGGTGTGCACACCCTACCTCCATTCAGGGTTGAAGCTCTCCTGGGCCTGGGTGTTTCTTAGTTTCAACACTATCAGCTCATGGAGCTCCATGAGGAAAGCATCTAGGTCCGTGTGATTCAGGAAGGTTCTGAGGGGCTTAGCAATTTCTGGGCTGAGGTCTGCTTTGTACCTAGAACTGATTTCCCAAAAGGGATCCTAAAAAAGATGAACAAGTACAACATCAAAGCCTGGGACCAGTGTGCAGCACCCTCAGTCTGGGCAGAGGCAGGGCAGACTCACTTTCTTCAGTCGCAGTAGCTGTTCCGACTTATGAGCAGAGAGGAATTGCCAGAGGGCAACAGCATGTTTTAACTGACATCTGCTTAAAGCCTGGAAAAGGAAGAGAGTCCCAAGTAGGAGTGAAGGCTCACTCTGAGTGGTACCCAAGGGCACTTCTCCCTAATTTTGTCTATTTTCTTCATGAGGCCATCTCTGTTCCATCCACGAGTCTACCTGCCTCATCTTGGAAACATCTGAGAGTCTCCCCCTCCTGCAGCAGTGTGTAACTGTATCACGCAGTGAGCAGGTAGTCAATGTCCTCAGTCACCTGTGCATCCTGCTCTACTAGGTGGTCAGCACTGAGCGTCCCTGCCTCTCCTGTCCCCAGTGTGCACTGAAATTCTGTGGACTGGTGAGGGGTGGGGTTCCTGACCACCTCTTTCCACAAATGCCTGCACCAGGCTCCTGCGTGGTGCATTCTGGCAGGAAACTAAAACCAGGTGATGCTGATTCTCCTTGAAAAGCACACCTTTAAAAAGACCTACCTTTAAAACCGGAGTTGTTTGGACACTCATTCGCAGGATGTCTTGGACATACACATTTAGGTGCATATTTGGATCCCCACCAGCTGTGCCTAGAAAGCCCAGAGTGACCTCTATGATAGACAGTGCTTCACAGGCATCGCTGTAGGACCGAAGCTCTCCACTGATGTCACCCATGGCCGAGTTGGGGAGGGGGCTCTGAAACCAAAATCAGGACAGAGTCTTGGGTCAGGCTATTGCTTCTCCTACTTGGTAAGAGCTGATGCTTGTGCTTAAGCTGATGCTGAGTGCCTCAGCCTTTCAGACTTTGCACAGAAATGGGCCCAAGTTAACTGAATCCTCCACATGATCCATGAGGACACAGAGAGGCACAAGAGCCTCTCCACTTGTCGGTAGCAGAACCTAAGGATCAGGAGTAACCTTTAGCACCTGAAGCAGCTGCTGATCTGCTGCTGGACATTGATTTCTGGTCATGATATCATCATTGAGAAAACAACCCCCAAGGGGTTGGTCTGTTCTCATCAAGAAAGTTTGGTGATCTGCCATTCTGCTTGCCTCTCTGAGCTCTGGGCTCCCTGACCTCCTCAGGGAGCCAGAAAACCTGGTGCTCACAGCAGACACCAGGATGAGATTGTACTGTCCTTACGTATGTGGATGGAACAACCCTGCAAGTGAGGGTTTATCATGACCACCTGTGCCATTTTGTTCTTGATGTCCACAAAGAGATGTTCGAAGTTCCAGTCATGTCTATATACCAGCGTGGGTATCCCCTAAGTGAGAAAGAAAAAAAAAGTTTTTGGAAATTAAAATAGAGGAGGCTTCCATCTGATGACAGGTGTATTCTTCAGCAGCGACTCAGTGGAAGTACCAAGCCGGACAGTGTATTCCTGGGCAAGGCATGTAACTTTGCTGTGTTCTGATGACTCTGTTCCACCAGCACTCTTTGGACACAGTAACACGAGAACTCTAGCCTGGCTACAGTGACCTTGCAGATATTGCCCTGTAGAATAGTGTATCTGCCGACCACAGAGAGGAAGAGCGCTGGAGGAACAGGAATGGGAATGTGCACATTTGTGATCTCTCCAGCCACACTGAGCAGCGACTGTGCACAAGGCAGCCACTGTCAGGATGAATTAAAAATGGCTTTAGGCTCAAACAACTGACAGGCTCACTACAATGGAGGAATAAATACATCTGAGAATGACATCTGGCTGGACCTGGAAGGATGAGTGCAGCCACGGTAAGGGACAGTACAGAAGTGCCACTGTGTTCAGGGAGTCGGGAGGCAGTCACAGGGTGTGATGCAGCAGGGAAGGAAGGGGCTGGAGACGCCTGGAAGGTCGGGCTGGGGCCAGGTGACAGGGCCTCTGTGCCAGATGAGGGAGTATGGTGGAGGCCATTGTAACACTGTCCACATGCTGTGGACTGGCTGGGGGTGGGGGTTCCTGACTGCCCCTTCCCAGGGGTGCCTGCACTGATGCTCCCCGCATAGGGGCATTCTGGCAGGAAACTAAGATGAAGTGGTGCTGCTGGCACCGGGCAGCTGGACTGACGGCTGAATGCTCTGAAGTGAAGCCAAGGCCATGGCAGTTAGAGGATGAGGCAATGGGGAAGGTCTGCGTGGTGGTTCCTGGGCACGGACTGCATATGCAACTGAAGGGGTGGCAGCAGTGAGGTCTTCTTGGTGGTGCCATTAACTGTGGTGGAAACCCAGTCCACTGAGACTTGAGGCTGCCCTGGGGGACAGGTGCAGACAGTGATGGTGATGTGGAAGAGAGCTGGGGACACCTCCCGGCCCAGAGAAGGTGTAGGGACCACAGATCACAGTGGGGAAGAGACAACACAGACAACATCCTGGGTGTCACTTGTCTGTTCCCCCTGAAACTCACAAGGGCTGTTCATAACTACAGCAGATTGTTGGCAGAGGGCCCAGCCTACCTTGAGGGTCAGCCGGGGCTTGCCCTGGAGGAAGTGGCTGCTGATCTGCCGCTGGATCTTCTCCAGGTCAAATTCCTGTGAGGTCTCCCCACCTTGCTCCACTTGATACTGGCAGTTGGAGAGAATCAGAGGCATCAGGTCCCGCTCCACTTCGTAACTGACAACATGCAGGTCAGTGACCTCTGAGGCATCCACGGAATAGCTGAGGGACACAAGATACAGATCTTGGTGTCCAGAGCAGGTGTGTGAGGCCTAGGGCTTTGGGGCATATGCTCCTGCTTCTGCATTATAGTGTAAGCAAGTGAAAACCATGTGCAAATACGGGGCTTTACTGAGGAAGGCTGAGAGAGGATCTGGGGGACAGGAGCTGTTGCTGGCTGGAGTCTGCAGCCCAGCTTGGTGGCAGGGATGGTGAGTTTATGCAGTACCTGTTGTTTTCCTTGGAGAACTTCTCCATCATGTAGATGATTTCATTATGTAGATTAATCAAGTAGCTGACTAATGCAGTTGAGCAGAGGCCCAGGCCCCGACGCCGGGGCAGGATGACCTTAAAATCTGTGTCCAGATCCAACTCAGAGTTGTAGTAGCCTTTAGGTAACTTGATTTCACCTTTAAAAGACAGGGTCATTACTAAGCAAAGGGATGTTGCTCCAGGCGTTTGTCTGGAGGCAGGGGAAGAGAAGGGAAGCCACGGGCAGCCATGTCCAAAGATCTAGGCCCTGGCTGTTAAGTTTCTAGTGCCCCCAACTCCTTTCTGATTCCATATTTATAGATTCAGGACGACTGAGGGTGACTTTGGAGGTTGGTTCATGTATCCCAGCACATCCATCAACAGGTTGCGTTGCCACACACACAGCAGGGTGCTGGCAGAGCCACGTGGAGGAGGACACTTACCATTGGTCTCCAGTGACCGCCTCAGGGCATTCCACGTGGACAGGAAGGTGGTGATCCTGTTGTGGAATAGCTGCCTCAGCCCCTCTGTTGAACACAACACTTGGTAAGACCCCATGGAAACAACCCCTACCATTACCCTGGCCAGGGTCAAACCACAAGGCGTGCTCCCAAGAACCTGACCCTGCACCTTCCCTCACTCAGCGGCATGCCTGAGTTTCAAGTTTTAGGCTGTAAGAGAAGCTGGAGAGGCTGAGGGCTTTCTAGACTCAGCAGTGGCTCATGGCCATCTCTGGGATTTAGCATCCTTTGCCTCTTTCTCTACCTTAGGACCTGAGCCCCACCCTCATGTCCCAGCCTGAATGATCCTTTTGAACCACCAAACATGGAAGGTCCTGATCTTGGTTGCAGCAGACAGCAGTCATACCTGAACTGTGACTGCTAATAAAACTCCTGATGGAACAGGAATATTCATCTTCTGGAACATTCTGGAATTGTTTCACTAGATCCCTTTGCAGGGCCAAAATCTCAGGTAAGAATTTCACCAGTCTCAGTTCTGCTTCCTGGAGAAGAGAAGATGGCTCAGTAACACTTCCTCTATTTAATTGAGAAACAACATGGGGTGTACAGATTTTAGGGCAGGCTGGGGACTTTCTGTGTAGTTTAATTTGGTCAGTTGGTTGTTTTACATGATTCTACCCTGAAGCTTGCAAATGGGAAAGGGGTCATCCCATCCTTTCACCAAGTGGTGAGGGATTTGGATGAACTGGATCAAGTCCCCGCCCTCCCTAATGAAAAGCTGCCTCAAGGACTGAGCTGGGCCCCATCTCTCAGTTTGCACAAGAATCAACTCTAGATGACCAAAGACCCAGATGTAAGACTTGACCTCTGAAGCTATCAGCAGAAAAACAGGGGAAACACTCCAAGACATTGGCACGGGTGATGGGTTTCTGGATAGGACCCCCAAAACCATAGGAAGTAAGAGCAAAATGACAAATGGGATCACATCAAACTAAAAAGTTTCTGCACAGCAAAGGAAACAACCAACAGAGTGAAGGGACAACCTACAGAATAGGAGAAATAGCTGCCAACTCTTCACCTGACAGCAGCAAATACCCAGAATATATAACTCAAAAATTTTTTAAAAATCAAAGTAATCCAATTTAAACATGAGCAAATGATCTGAATAGACAATTCTCAAAAGAAGAAATATAAGTGGTTAACAAATATATGAAAAAATGCTCAATATAACAGCCATCAAGGAAATGCAGATCAAAACTAAAATGAGAAGCCATCCTACCATAGTTAGAATGACTCTTATTAAAAAAATAATAATAATAATAATATAGGTGTGCAATCCCAGCTACTTGGGAGCCTTAGGCAGGAGGATCACAAGTTTAAGACCAGCCTCAGCAAGTTCTACGTTAGTCTAGGCAATTTAGTGAGATCTTGTCTTAAAAAAAAAAAAAGCAGGAAATGGGGGCTGTCGCTCAGAAGTAGAGCATTGCTTGCTTAGGAAGCCCAAGAAGGCCCTGGGTTCCATTGCCACTAGTCCCCCACACCCAAAAAAGATGAACCCAAACATAAAATAATAAATGCTAGCATAGACGAAGAGAAAAAGGAAATCTAATATATTTCTGGTACAACTGTTTTTCTTATGGTTATCAAAAGGGGATTTATTAGAATGTCTTATACAACCAAAAGCTGGGTAGTCCACAATGGCCATCTGCAGGCTGGGGAGCTGGAGGAACCATTGCAGTCCAAGAAGCAAAAGCCTCAGAACAAGAGGGATTGATGTTGCTACCACAGTCCAATACCAAAGACTTCTGGAAACTCCCTGGACAATCAATCACTGGCAGAGTCCACTCTGGAAGAGTGAAGGAGCGAGAGTCTGATATCCTCAGGCGATCACAGCAGCAATCAAGAAACCATTCAAGAAGAATGGAGCTTGCACCTTCTGCTGCTTTCTCATTCTTCCAACTTTTATTCCATCCCAGACACCATACTGTTGGATGGTGCTGTTCATGCTCAGGGTACAACTGTTAATTAATACCTCCTAATAGAGAGCAGTATGGAGGTTCATCAAACTAAAAAAAGATCTACCATGTGATCCAACTATCCCACTCCAAAGGAAATCAGGTATCAAAGAGGTACTGCATGTTCATGTTTATGTGGCACCATTCACAATAAGACACAGAACCAGCCTAGAGGCTATCAGCAGATGAATGCATAAAGAAGATGTCATTTAAATACATAATAGAATATGATTCAGCTCTAAGAAAAATGAACTACTGTCATTTTCAGCAAAATGGATAGAACTAGATGATATGATGTTAAGTGAAACAAGCCAGACACAAAGACAAGATCAATACATGCTATATGCATACATGGAAATTTCACACCGATTCCCATTATGTACACAACTAATGAATTAATAAAAATAAGTAATTTGAGAAAAATTTTTTAAAAATTGACTCTGGGGCCCACGGTTGGGTGTGAGGCTGCTGAAAGGAAAGACCAAGGCCTACTGCAGTGGTAGCTGATGTGATTTTGGGTTTTGTTCTGAAGATCCAGCACCCTCACTCAAATAAGACCGTGTCTTACTAAGAGATCACAACACTAACATGAAGTCCTTCCTAGTGTGAGTACCAGACGTTCCCCAATCATTCTGCTCCCTGCCAGCTATGGTACTGGTCCATGAAGGAGGTGGTGTGAACCTCTACTGTGGCCCAGGAGAGCTCAAGTGGGTGAAAGCTGGGGATGGTTTCTGGGTCTGGCAGGTGTGACTCTACACCCTGCAGCCCCATCATGCAGCACACTGCCTCCCACTTGCAGGGCACAGGGAGGGCTCTGGTTTGGTTTTGGTGTGCATTCTTTGTTTTTAATATTTTTTAATTGTAGTTGGACACAATACCTTTATTTTATTTATTCATTTTTATGTGGTGCTGAGGATTGAACCCAGTGCCTCGCACATGCTAGGCGAGAGCTCTACGGCTGAGCCACAACCCCAGCCCCTTGGTGTACATTTTTGACTGTTCAGCAGGCACTTGCTGGTGACTGCCTACTCAGCTTCTGGAGATAAACACAAAGTTTCACAGTCGAGTAACCAGTGTGGTCTCTCCTGGCCTTCCTAAGAGATCACTGCTAACCTCACCATGCACTATGTAATGTGCACATTACTCCTGTGACTTCAGCAGATGTGTCTTAAGATCTCTGCTCTCTTCCCTAAGACTCCTGTGATCAGGCCTTGCATTCAGAATCACAGTGCTGATGGGATGGCTTAGGATTCTGCCTCTAGGAATGATGACTTTGAACCCAGGCACAGAGCCTCCCAGTCCTCAGGGGAAGTCTACCAGGAAAGGGGGGCAGCCCCTGAAGCAGACACACCTTCTGCAGGAACTGCCAGAGCACGGGCACCACCTCCTTGCCGTTCTTCTGCTCCACAACGTGCTGGAGGTACTCCACTGTGATCTTCTTCCTGCAGCTCCAAATCTTTGAGCAATGAGCCACACTTTTCTGGGGCAGCTGGGGCAAGAAGCTTGCTGGGTCACCATATATGATTTTGGCCACAGGGCTCGAGCTGATGCGCTCATCCTGGCTGATGAGTGTGCTCACAGTCAGCAGGGTCTTATCGAGATGCTGGATAAAGAAATGACACAGCATTCTGCAAGTGAGACATGGTCACAGACAACCAGGTAGCTCTTGGACCCACGGTAGCTCCTTAGGAATCTGCCTGCACAACCCGGATGCTTGCTTTTGCCATCTTTCACTGATTGGGGGGTTCCTTGTTCATAGGGTTTTTGCCTCTACAGAGTGAGACTTGGGGCCTTTATTTCACTGCCCTTTTGCTTCCTGACTTCCCTGTCCTGCTGTGGATAGTCAGCTCTGTGATGTTCTCAGCAGAGCAGTCATGAATCCAGAGAGACTGTCGATGCATTTCTGGAGGGTCTCTGCCTCTTACTTTCACATCCTGCTATCAAAAGCAGTGGAGCAGGCTGCCATCTGCCCTATGGGAACTCCTGATAATCCTTGGCCTTACCTAAGACTAGTGCAGGAGGGGGATAGCAGAAGGAGGGGTTTCTCCAGGTAAGGCCTCTGACAGCGCTCCTGAGGACAGTGGGCCAACAGTGCTCACAGATGGATGGGACCCCCTCCTGGACAGAGGGCTAAGGAGTGGTCACCACTCACCACTTACCTCCAGTTCAGGTAGAAGAAGAGCTTCGACATGCTTTTCCCAATTGTTTCTATGTCCTTTTTTTGACAATTTTGCATCAAAATTTAAATGTCCTACAAAAGAAATCAAAATGTGTCTGTTACCCAACAAACAAAAAGCAGCGCACTCTATACAGTAAACACTGAATGATGTTAATAGAGATAGTCCCCTTTTGGGGTGATAACTTCCTAAGTTCACCAGGTACTGCCAACACCAGCCTCCAGGCCTTGTGAAGACACTTTAGTCTTCTGACAACCCTCCAGCCCACAGCTGTGGCCTTGAAAGTATTTTAAACAAATGGCTAAGGACAGGACGTGAACTCAAAAGCCTAGGGGCACAGCAATGCTGACAGCTACCCAGAGCCACCTCACTGCTGCCCCCAGGCCTGTAGGCAAAGGTGTCCTGGGGAGCTGGCAGCAGGTTAGGGCTCCCGAGTCCATGTGCTGTGGAAGCCACACCAGAACAAGAGGTACTCGGCAAAATCAGTGTTGCTAAGGTGGGAAGGACATGCTAATGCTGGTTTCTGATGAAGACACCCCTGAAGTGGAACAGATTCTCCGGTGGTGGTAACAGACATTTTATTGCTACTGTTATCTGTATGCTTTTAAATAACATTGTTCTACAATGGTACAATGATTGTTTTAAAAGATTTTTAAAGTAAGCAAGAAGAAACTGAAATCCCTCCTAATGCCACTCAGATAACCACTTACAGAGTCCCCTCACAGACCTTTGCTTTGGGCCTGGATTTAAATGTTTAGAGTACAAGAGTTAGCTCAGCAGACAGTGTTTTGTAGCTTCCTTTGTTTATGTAACAAATTGTGTACATGTACATATTAGGTCAGGGTACAAGTGTGACATCTCTGGAAAGCAGAAGTGGGACATGTCACCTGCTGGGGTGCCACGTGCTCCCAGGGCACAGGTTAATGGTGCATGCACAAGCACCAGGTATCAATGCTGCAGGCCCCAGCCAGGCAGGTGGTGTGTGGAGGAGCGCAGCAGCCCCTCTAGCCCCCGCAAGGAGAGCAGAGCGCTTGCTCCCACTCCTGTCATGCCATTCACCAGGAGCTGAGGGAGCCTGGCCTCCTGCCAGTTATGCCCAGCCCACATCCCTTGCTTACTCCAGTCAGGGAGTGGGTGCTGCTCTTTGAGAAGGCAGCGCAGCATGAGGTGGACCACGCAGGTGGTCTCGTCGGCACTCCTCCCCAGCATCTTTGTCAACTGCTCCAAGTCTCTCCGGATGTGCTGCTGCAGGAATCCTTTAGGGTCACTCACTGGAGGCTTGATGATGTTTATCACAGCCTGTGAGGGCAACGAGACAAGACGTGTAATGAGAGCAGTGTGTAGAGGACACAGTGAGAGGCCAAGGGAGCGAAGCACCAGCACTGGGGAGAGGTGGTTTCTAGGTGGGGTCAGGGTGCTCTCAGCATGACGCAGGCAGCAGAGGAAGGGAGGGAGGTGAGTAGAGCCAGAGATTGCTGGCTCTGATGTCATCCCGGTGCTGCAGGGAATGCTGCCCTGCACCTCCTGCAGCCACCACAAGGGTGTAGGTGACAGGGTCCCACCACCTCCCCATGCCCAGGTGTGGGCATGGACAGAGTTGTATACTCTGAGTAGACTTTATGATCTGATTGTTGCACCTTGTATACACATGCTAAGATGTCACACTGTAACAAACGTGTAATTGTTTTGTGTCAGTTAAAACAGATTTTAAAAATTAAAAAAATGAAGAGGATTTTCCATAATCTGAGGAGTAGTTCCCCAATTGCATCATACACCCCAGAGGGAAAAGTAGGATCTATAACTTTTGCATTACCCTGTGGACTTTGTAGACAAAAGGACTGGATGCAAACACAGCAGGTTCTTCCTATAGCAACATAAGAGAGTCTAGCAGTAGCATCTTATACCTCGGGATTTTGAGTGGCTCCCAAAAGCATAGCCAGATGAGTGAGTAGGCGCATGAGAATGAAGATGACTGGGGACAGCTCTCGGTCAGACACTACTACGACATCTCTGGGTTGCGGGTGGCCCAGCATATGGCCAGTCTTGGTTCTGTCTGTGCTGTCTCTGGAAAGGATGAGAGGAAACAGGATGAAGACTAGAGATGTCTGTTTCTCCTCAGCTCCAGGGGCCTCACATCTTAACGACTAGGTTCCCAGTTTTTTGTTTTCTTGTTTTTTTTGGTTTTGGTAATGGTAATGGGGATTGAACCCAGGGGCTCAACCATTGAGCCACATTCCCAGCCCCCACTTTTTTGGGGGCACTAGACCACTGAGCCACATTCCCAGCCCTATTTGGTATTCTATTTAGACAGACAGGGTTTCTCAGTGCCTTGCTTTTGCTGAGGCTGGCTTTGAACTCACAATCCTCCTGTCTCTGCCTCCCGAGTTACTGGGATGATAGGTATGCATCACCACACCCAGCTAGGTTTCAAGATTTGAAGAAAACACTAAAAGAACCAACTATTCCAAGCCTAGACAGCCTGCCTCCACATCCTTCTCTCTTTAGACCCACCCAGCTGGATGGCCAAACTCTGCAACTTTCCCAATGTTAACTGGCTGCACGATGTGGCCATTAGTGCAGGGTGTCAGGATGCAGACCAACACCTTCCTCATGACAGCAAGTTTGGGGCATTTGTGCATCCATGTGGGGATTGTCTACGTAATTCTCAATTTTCCCAAATCAAAGACTGGGATATACAGCCTGGAAAAAGTTTTCAAGATTCAAGGACATTGAAAATTTAAGAAGATAAGAGTCTAGACTATTTTAAGCTTAGTAACAGAAAAGCCAGATAAATGGTGAGGTAGAAGGTCCTGCATGTCATCTTAAGTGAGCTCTGACAGCCACACTCATCTCAGGATCAAGCATGGGACTATGAGATCAGATTTTTATTTTTATTTATTGTTTTCAGTTCTGGGAATTGAGTGGGGGCTTCACATGTGATAAGAAAGTACCCTACTTTTGAGCTACACCCCAAGTCCTTTCTATTTTTATTTTAAGACAGGGTCTCACAAGGTTTTCTGAGCTGGCTTCAAACTTTCAATCCTCCTGCCTCAGCCTCCTGAGTAGCTGGGATTACAAGTGTGCACCAATATTCCTGGCTGAAGGTCAGATTTTTATCTAGTTTCTGAATCTGGTACAGTTAGCCTTATGTATCTGCGATTCTGCGCCTGTGAATTCAACCAACTATGAATCAAAAATATTCAGAAAGAACCGGGTACTGAAGAATAGCTTTCTTTTCTTGTTACTATTTCCTAAAAATATGAAAAATGAGTATTTACATAGCATTCAATTTGCATAAAGTATAATAAGAAACCTAGAGATGATTTTTTTTAAAGTCTGTGGGAGGGCTGGGGATGTGGCTCAAGCGGTAGCGTGCTCGCCTGGCACGCGCGCCACGCTGGGTTTGATCCTCAGCACCATATACAAATAAAGATGTTGTGTCCACAGAAAACTAAAAAATAAATATTAAAACATTCTCTCTCTCTCTCTCTCTCTCTCTCTCTCTCTCTCTTTAAAAAAAAGTCTATGAGAGGCCAAGTACAGTGGTGCACACCTGTAATTCCAGTGCCTTGGGAGGCTGAGGTAGGAGGTTCACAAGTTCAAACCCAGCCTCAGCATCTTAGTGAGACTCTATGCAACTCAGCAAGACCCTGTCTTTAAATAAAATATAAAAAGGGCTGGTGTTGTGGTTCAGTGCTTAAGAACCTTAGGCTCAATCCCCAGTACCATTAAAAAACAAACAAACTGGTTTACAGGAGGATATTTGTAGGCCAAGCAAATACTGTGCCATGACATATAAAAGAACTGAACATCTGTACCTGAGTATCTATGGAGGAAGGTGTCCTGGAAACAAGTCTCCACAGACATGGAGGAATGGCTGTAGTTAATATGACTGATTACAGGGCTCGAGCTGGAGCTCAGTGGCCGAGTGCTTGCCTAGCACATGTAAGGCACTAGGTTCAATCCTTAGTACCGCATAAAAATAGATAAAATAGTGCATGTAAGAAGACACGAAGGATGGGGCTCTACTTTGTGTATAGCCAGAGATATGAAAAATTGTGCTCTATATGTGAAAAAAAGAAAAAATAAAATAAAGACATGCTATCCATCTACAACTAAAAAAGTTTTTAAAAAACACTGATTATATCTGTCTTTCACTTTTCTCAATTAAAAAAAAAAAAACAGGGAAGGGGTGCAACTCAATGGCAGAGCCTAGGATGTGTGAGGCCCCGGGTCCCATCCCCAGTACCACAAAAATAAAGCAAATAAACAAAAAAGCTTCAGCACTACATGCACAGAGGTGTACTTGATGTGGATCCCCAACATGACACAGTCCAGATGTAGAACAGTGGTGTTAGTGATCCTGTAGTTCATACGATTCATCTGCTGGAATGGACAGCCCAGAGCCTCAGGCTCCAAGGGATGGAAGCTGAGTCCACATACCTGATACTTTGGAAGCCGGCATGAGGTCTGTGATTGATACCTCCTATTTTAGCACCACAGTCAACACAGAAGCTCTGCTCCATCGGCTTGCCACACTGGGACATAGAGGGGACACACAGTCAGCACTGCATCCAGCACTGGTACATGTGCAGAAGCCACCCTGCATAGGAGGTGGTGTGTGCCACAGTCTGCATCTGGTGCATGTGTGTGTTAGGGAGGAGCAGGAGCCCTGGGGAGAGGGTGGGCACTTAACCACATATACTGTCCGTGGGCAAATGTGGCTTCATTTTCCAAAAATAAAGTTTTTTACTCCCAAGTAGAATGACTAGTGTGTGTAGCCTCATCTTCCTTTCTCCTATTCACTGCCTTCTCCATCTCTGTGTCTAGCATGCCAGCCTCTAGAGCATCATTATCTAACACCAGGAATGATGGTGTTAATAACTCCTAAGCAGACCTCCTCACATCCACTGGACAAAAACAAAAAAACCCAACCATAAGATTTGCCACCACTAATGGGCCCAGGTTTCCAAGTCAAATGGCACCCCACTGCTATGAATCACAGCCACAGCAGGCCCCTCCAGCTGCAGCGCTCAGACCACAGAACTCAGTGATAAGAGGGGCCCTGGAATCTCTTCTTATTTCACTCCTCAGACAAGGAAGCAAGTGGGAGTCAGGAAGGTGAAGTCACATCAGGGAGCATCCTGTTCACTTTAGGGAGCAGCATGCATAAGTCTAGTCCAGCAGCATGTTGCTCGGCAAGTGCAGATGCCATGAGCAGCCCGGGAGATGCCCTGGAGTCCCAGATGAGCAGCATGTGCTTGTCTCCCAGGGCTCATCACCCATAAGTCTTTCCTGTCCTCTCCTGTCCTCTGGTATCTAGCCCACATTCCTCTCTGACTAGTGAACCAGCTGAGGGTCTGTGTGGCTGAGCCCTGCTGCAGGGCCAGGGAGGGAGCACCATGGCATCCTAGGAGACTTGGGCAGTGCCTGCAGACATTCTCGGGCATCACACTGGGCTAGGGGGTGCTGCTACTGGCACCCAGTGAGCTGAGGCCAGGCGTGCTGCTAAATATCCTACAATGCACAGACAGATCTGCAGGAAAGAATCATGTTTACAGTGCCATTTAGACACTCAGCTGGAACACCCTGAGTAGCCCTCAGAATACACCTATGTCTCCCTCATTCCCTACGCCCTCCCTCCCACCCCAGATGGGAATGCACATTTAGAGCCTCCCCCAAACACCAAGACTCACCTCTCCTACAGAACACGGATGACCTTTGGGACAAGCTGTTCAAAGAACAACAGGACACGTTAGCTAGTGAGTCTCCACCAAATGACCCATGTGGGAAGGGGAAGTTGCTGCCCTCCTCTCTAGCCCTGACCAACAGGACACACAGCCCATGTCCTCATGATCTACCAGAAGCCTTGAGCCATGCCATCAGCTAAGTTTCCTTGACATGTCAAGTAAACTGGAGCTCAGTGAACACATGTCATCAGTGAAAAGTGTCTGCATTTAGCTTTCTACCACAGAGAGAGGTTGGATCCCAGACACACCAGGGGTAACTTAGTGGCAGGGGGGATAGTGTTTTATATCTTTCTATTCTCTTGGATTTTTTCCTTTTATGGCAAGAGAATGATTTAGAACAACTTAAAAAAAATTAGTTTTAGAAGGTTATTTACTCAAGGCAACAGCTTAACTCACATAAGGTCAGGGGTTATATGGCTGTCTCCATGGTGCAGACTACAGGAAGCTCTCTCTGGGTCAAAACCCCTGGACTGTGACTGAGCTTTGAATGAGCCTCAGCATGGTCCCCAGGCCCCCCTTATTCCAAATGGCTTGTTCTGCCGAGCAACAGTGCATCCCAAAGGGTCTTGTCCCCTGACTAGGCAGGGAAATGATTTGGTCATCTAGCCAGCCAAGTCTGTGGCCCTCGAACCACCATGAGGAGGCAGGTGACATGGGCCTTCAGCAGAACCTTGTGAAGCCAAGTCCAATCTCATGTCTGGCATGGCCACAGGCTGACCTTGCAAGCTGAGAGGAGTGAGACCCTTCCCCTTACACCGATACTCACTGTACCAGTGGACACCTTCCAGACCCTTCCACTTCTGGGCTTGAGCCAGCAGGTCTTCAGGCATCGTTGGAAGAAAAGCATTCTGAAAGACCAAGAGCAGAAGTGGCCCTGCTGAGTGGGCCTGTGGGCTGTGGCTGCGATCCAGCAAGAGGCACAGAGTGAGGCAGTTTCTTCTCAGCTCCAGAGCTGTTTACAGAGGATGAACAACAGCTCTGTGTGAAACGGCAAAGGGTAGGGCATGTTTTTACCAGGACTGTGCTGAAGGATCAAGTGGGGCAGTGGGGCAGAGAATCTAAAGATGGACAAGTCGGAGAGTTCCCACAGCCACAGGCCAGGTCTCAACATGAAAACCCTGAAGTTTCACTGTGAAACCAAAGTCATCATCCCGCAGCTTACCGCCATGCTGGCTGGGGAGAAGGCCAAGTTCCTCAGGGGCACCAAGACTTTGCTCTGTCCACACAGAAGGACAGCCGCAGTGTGAATGGCCATTTCTGTCACTGTTCTTTCAAGGCTGTCAGCACCAGGGCTCGCGCTCAGCAAGGGCAGAGTGTTGGCCACGAGGGATGCTGCGAAAGGCCTGACCCCCGGAGGAGACAGGATTTTGCTGTCCTCAATGAACCTGCTCACAGCCTCGCATTGCTGGCACGAAAGACGTTTTTCATGTTAGGATATGTCAAAGAAGAATACTGTGTGAACTTAGGGTTTTCTCTTTGAAAGTCACATATTTCGATACTGATTGCACATCAAATATAAAGGTAAATATATTTAAAGGATTATAATGGAGGAGAAATTCTTCAGGAAAGAGAATTTTCATATAGAAACACAGAAACCACATTCCTGAGTGCAGATCTCAACACTCTGTTTTGATAAACATGAGGTAATGTTCCTGAGACTGTAAGATTTAGGTTTAACAGAAAGTAATTCTTCCACATAACAAGGGTACACCCTCTATCCTAGATAGGAAATTATGAAGGTCATAATTCCTATTATCCTGATAGGAAATAAAAGTTTATGACTTCTACTGTGCTAAGAAAGTCCCTCCTAATCGTGAGACTGAACTCAAGCCCCAATGTGTCACTCACCTCCGGCTTAGGGTGGAGGTTCAAGTTGTGGGAGCAGTGGAGAGCAGCCACTTCTCGGAACAGCGCCAGCAGCAGGTAGACGGCCTGTTGAGCTCCGGGGCTCCTGCAGGCCTGCGGGTGGGGCGTGGAGCGAGCACTCAGAAGCCACACAGCACTACCTGGAGCAACCTTCCCTGGGCCATGCACCATGGCCCTCCACACACATGACTGGGGCTATGAGTTCATGAGACAGGCTCAGGTTAACCTCAGTGCACAAGGGCCAGGCAGCCATGATGGAGAAACAGAAGTCAGCACCTGCTCTCCTCCAACTACTTCACTGGTCTTGGAAATGTTTCCTGAGAGGTTTTTCAATTTCCTCTTTCCAGCATTAGGCCCAGATAAACTGGGACTCAAAAAGGAAGCAAGACCAGAACAATTTAAAGATGAGAATCCTGGGGCTGGGGTTGTAGCTCAGTGTTAGAGCTCTTGCTTAGCATGTGTGAGGCACTGGGTTTGATCCTCAGGACTGCATAAAAAGTAAATAAATAAATAAAATAAAGGTATTGTGTCCATCTACAGCTAAAAATGTTTTTAAAAGATTAGAATCCTAAATCTCTGTATAAACATCAAAATAGACACATAAGCATATATGTGGATTGTGAATCCATACAGCTATGGATTTTGCTAATTGTCCTGACACCTTTCACTCACCAGGGAGACCATGGGCATCTGGCACATAGTGTCACTCTAGGGGCTGTTCAGAGGCCCTCTCCACCACACCTGCATCCTTTGACATAACCAAGGTCGGGGGGCCACCTGCATCAGGGAGAAGCTTTGAGCCCATCCTACCATGAGAGCAGCCTCGAGGCCGGAGGCCTTGCACTCGAGCATGGCTTTGCCCACTGCGTCACGAAGTGCCTTGTACTTGTCCCCATGCACCAGGTATTGGTCCATCTGGCCCAGGTGGTCTTTCTGCAGCTCAAAAGAAAAGGGTTAGTCATGGTGGAGCGGGTTGAGGTGTTCTGCAAGGCCCATCTCCATAGGCTAAGAAAGACAGCAGACACCACTGGAGGCTGGAGGTAGCTCAGCTGGGACTCGCTGTAGGGTCCAGGCACGACAGTCCTGGGAGTCTTCAGGAGCATGTCTTCCATAGGGAGAGCCCAGGGAGGAGGGAGGCTGACCCTGGAGCTGCTTGCTTTCTCTACACATGGCACTACCCCAAGCGAGGTGACAAAAAACATGTCATCTCTGAGTCCCAGTTGGTCATATTAAAGATGCCAGGAGCTGCAGTGCCATATTTTTTAACCCTAGGACAGTAAGAATTTTCAAATTTTTGAGCACTGGGAATAGAGAAGCCTGAAAGCCAAACTCATTACACTTGTCTCTCAATTGTCCCCACCTCTGCCTGGCAGAGAGCACAAGACACAGCCTGCAAGAGGTCACCTTTTAATTTACTGGAAGCAAATATTTTTAAAAAAATACTCATTCACTTTCCCTGAAGTGAAGCCTAGATAAAATGCAGGTGAACAACGAACCAGAAACACACACAAGTGTGCACACACATGTGTCCATGCCTACCTTTGCCCTATAGCAAGCGGCCTAAGCCCACCCTGAAGCAGAGACCAAGGACCAGATGCCTGCCTGCGTCCTGCCTGTCGTGAGGGCTGGGAGGGTGAGGAGTGGTGCCCATAGCTTCCCGCTCTGCCAGGGACCTGCGTCTCACCTGCTGTGCAATGACTCCCTTGGGAAACACCCACTGGCACCGATGGCCCTCCCTGGAGAGGCTCTGCACAAATTCCATCCCACGCAGGCTCGCGAGCCTCCGGACCAGGTACACGCGGTGCCAGTCGTTCCCTGCCTGGGTGCAGAACTGCTGGACGTGCCGCAGGTAGCCCTGCTGTTCCTCAGCCAGCTCTGAGAGTGCAGGGAGAAAGCTGGTTAGTGACTGGGGACTGAGGGCCTGCTTCTGGGGAACTCAGTAAAAAACACCCAGAAGAGGGGACCATGGTAAGGGCCAGCAAGACCCTAAGGACAGTTCCTGTCCTTCTGAACCTGTAGCTAACTTCTCCAAGGTAGAGAAGACCTGCCTGATCCCTCCTGAAGCTCCACGAGGAGGTCAGAAGCTCTGTCGAGACACAGGCGGGTCCTGGCCACCTCCTGCAGGAACTCTACAGACGCGGCAGTGGCAGGTCCTTGGCCTTGTCTCCCTGAGGAGCAGGTCTGTAGGAAATGGCCTTCCTCCCTCAGGCAGTCGAGTTCACTCCTTGTGCAGTAAGCACTGGTCTTCTCCTGAATTGAATCCTACGGAACAGAGAACAAGAAAGAAAAGGATATTATACTTTAAAACAGGCAACTCCCCAACCTTCTAAAATCGCCAGTGAGAATTCAAGGGAAAATAAAAATCATTATTGTAGATCTGAGTAAAAATTTTTTGATTCATAGAAAACAACTGAAAAAGCAAACCTATGAGAAAAAAAATGTGTATAATCTTGAAATTTGGAAATAAAAATATGAAGACATTAAAAAGGACTCACGATCTTGCCAGCTGGGGATGACCATTGCTAACCCTGAGGTGTGATCCTCCAGGCTGTGGTGTCTTTGCTTTGCTCCGACACGCACGTGACTGTCAATATGGTCACACACTGCTTAACAACAGGGACACCTGCAGAATGCATCCTTAGGGACTTTCACTGTTGTGTCAACATCAGACAGCTTCAGATACCAGGTAAGGATCTCACGAGACCACCATCACACATGCAGTGAAGGAAACATCACCAAGTGGCTCCTGACTGTGTGTGTGACATCTAAGAGCAGAGCAATGTCTTTGAAACATCTTTCTTTTTCCACACGGAAAAGAAGCATCTGTTAATTGTACTGAATAAAGCTGCATTCTGACAGTTTTCGGAAACTCTGCCACTGCCTAAACCATATAGTTCAGATGGTTTGCAGAAGAAAAGCAACAAAGAGGCAGCCGGCTTACTTCTAGGCAGTTGATGAAGAGCATGTAGAGTTCGGTCTTATCTTCAGTGATGAACGCTTTCTTCTCTAACAGGGACAAATAGGCCTGGATATAATCTTTCACTGCTTGGAAGCTGTGAAAAGAGAAATATTATTCCTGGTGATGTCAGGATCACCCTACACAAAGGTGCATCTATTAATCTATTATCCAACTCTTTCTCTGTGTGAGTATAAAGGTATAATACATACATATGCTGGTATATAGCTTTAACAGCTTTTTATTAAAATGTTTGCACACTCTTAGAGGAATATGAAATTCCATATTACAGTTCAGCTGTTTTCAAACATTTTGGTTTAGGGCTCTTTTACAGGCTTAAAATTTATTGAAAACTGCAAGAAACTTTTTGTTCATGTGGGTCAAATCTACCAATGTTTATGTTATTAGAAATTAAAACTAAAAAGTTTCAAGAATATTTATCAATTCATTTAAGATAAAAAGAATAAACCCACATGTGTTAATGATGTTTAGAAGTGTGGCTTTTTTATGGTCCTATAATTCTTGGAAGCCTTGTTTAACAGAATTCAGCTGACTTCCTACATCTGCTTCTAATGCTACATTGAAGCCTATAAAGAAAATCTGGCCTCACACATGAGGTAGTTGGAAAAGGAAGAATTTTTTAATAGTCCTTATATATATTTGGGGTTATTCTTTCTCAATACTGTACCAACACTTGAAAAGTGATTATTTCTGAAGGCTGGTTATGGGACCTGATACCATGTCAGTTATTTTCATCATCAACCATATTACAATCCCATAGACTACTCTGTTATGAATTTTTCCCAGTGCTATGGATTGAACCAAGGGCCTCACTGTGTGCTAGTCAAAAGCTCTACCACTGAGCTGCATCTCCAGCCACTGCATTATTTTTTGATTCTGTGACATCAGGCATTGGTCATTTGGAAAAGCTTTGGTTTGCTGAGTAAAGCAGATCTTGAGATGTTGGCATCTTTTTAGTCTACAACCTGTTGTTGTAGATACCTACCTACATTCATCAACATCACCAGAGATCTGTGGTCTGGTGGTCACTGGTTCAGGCAAAATGGCAAGGCCTGAGAAAAGCAGCCAATTCTTATCTGGAGACATTTAGGAGTGGAATTCTTTGAGATAACCACTGTCCTCTGGTATGCAATGTTTTGGATCTATTTCCTGCTTCTACACAACATTAAAAATCACAGCCTCAGGCTGAGGTTTTAGCTCAGTGGTGGAGCACTTTCCCCTCAGGTTTGAGGCACTGGGTTCCATCTTCAGCACCACATAAAAATAAACAAACAAAATAAAGATATGCATCCAACTATAACTAAGAAATATTTTTAAAAAATCGCAACCTCGGGGGTTGAGATTTAGTAAGGCTCATATGTGAAACTGGCATTTGGAAAACTACATATGCCCTGGGCCGGGGATGTGGCTCAAGCGGTAGCGCGCTCGCCTGGCATGCGTGCGGCCTGGGTTCGAACCTCAGCACCACATACCAACAAAGATGTTGTGTCTGCCGAGAACTAAAAAATAAATAAATATTAAAGATTCTCTTTCTCTCTCTCTCTCTCTCTCTCTC